CTAGGTGGCAAGATCCCCACCGTGGACAAGAATGTACTTCTGAATAACCGGCATCACGTAACATTGTTTCACGAACACAACAATTGCTTAAATGCATCCATTTACGATCGCGAAGAAGTGATTCGGTTCACTTACCGGTGTAAATGTATCCAGTGAAACACTCCAGTTTCTTTAAGCCACTTCTACGCATCCGCCATCTTCTGCATTAGCTATGTTTGTTTAAATGGGAAACACTCCCAAAGCTTAAAGAAGCCTGCCCGAACCATGCGCGCGGGGGGCTGCTGGGTAATGTAGTCCTGCCATTCGGGCGATACGAGCATTCTACACAGAGCTGGAAAGGAACGAAACTACAAGTACATGAACCCCCGCAGATCGAAAAATAGACATCCAGTAGGAGATGGGCAGTAGTAGCAATATCGTAGAAAAAAATATAGTGCATTTATTTTTAGCTCTTTCAAGGACCACATAGAGATAACGGTCACGTATCCCTAATGAGTAGGCTGACGTTACGCCTTTATTTGCATAAGTTGAGTGTGATGAATTCGCTGTCTTTGCGAGAGATCGAATTATTTGTTCGTAGCACACCTTTTTATTCATAGTCTATCAAATCAAATCACTTTATCGGCACTACAACGTGTACGTAGGTCTCATGTGGTCCACCAACATTGCAGCCACGTAGTGACAGTATAAGGCAATGTACAAGAACACCATTAACTCACTGCACAATTTACACATAATACACAATATCGAGATTTACATGTAGCCTAATATACAGTATGCACACAAAGAATACATTACACAATATGTAGCCTACAAGCACTTGAACAGTTGCGAATAAGTTGCCGAATTCTTTTTAATATGCACAATACTGCATAATGTAAACTAGTTACATTTGCCACCAAAAGTGACAGAAATACTGTGGCTATTTAAACGTGGAGGCAAATATTTTTTAGGCAAATAGGGAGGCGAACATCTATAACTTTATTTTTCATTACTAACATGTTTGTTTTTCTAGACATGATATATTATGCATTGATTTTATTATGCATTAAAATAAGCTATTGTTCACATTGATGATACTTGCAAAGTAAATTATATTTACTAAGCAAATGGGTGACATACTATGTGTTTTTGTATGGTTAGAAAGAATAATATGTTCTTGCAAAGGTAAAATGCCCCGGAAAATCCATTTTAAGTGTACAAATAGTAAATAATAATAAATTTAAATAAAAAAAAATGTAACTGCTGCATGTGCAGGAGGAAAGGTTACAAAATAAAGGCTGTAATGTATAATATGACACAGCAAACTATGATAGTCTTACTGTAAATTATCAAAGGCATGTGTTTCTATGCCTGATATACATAATAAGCTCATATTTTCTGATGCATATTTATATATTTAGATGTAAAGAGAAATAAATGCTCAAAAAAGCATTTTAGGACACACTTGTATTCTTGTGGTCTGCAGAGTATGTAAGTGCTCTGCCCTCTGAAGACCAGACATGGAAGATAGCAATGAACTCGGAGTAGTGATTAGCGCATTGCTTGCTGTTTACTGTCATGACATTTCCCTGCTATACAACCTCTGGTCTCATCTGGCCAAAAAAACGTAGATGTGAAACTGAAGCATCAAGCAATTTGATAATCACTGAGGAAAAACTCATATAACTAAAGGATATATTTTCAAATTCCTTTGTGGACTTGTACGCCAAGGAAATGTGCAAATTTGAAGTGGAGTGGTACTTTTTAAGTCTTATTTTTAAATAATGTAGAGCAATAACATGCTATATGAGATTAAAAATTTCAGTTTTGAGCATATTTGACCACAAAACTGAGAGTGCCCCAATAACATTCTTCAGAAACCCAGAAAGAGGCCCATAGACCTGTTGTTGTTCCCTCCCCCAATTCACAGCACAATCTCACTTCCCCCTTCCAAGAGTGTGAAATGGTTTACCACCCCAACCCCCTCACTCTGTCTGTCCCCTTTGAAAGGACAGGAGATAGCCGTTTTAAAGGACAGGAGATAGCCCCTAATCATCTGCATCTATAGATTCTCTACCTGCAAACATGCAGTCATGAACCTCTCTTTTGTCCATCCCCTCTCCAGATGAAGTGCTTTAAAGATCTACTAGGTTAAATCACCTCTTCAGGAATGTATGAATGAGGAGTGAGTAAAAAAAGTGCAATAATTACATCTGTTTAATTCAAGGTTAGGAAATTGTATCACTGCGCTTGAAGCTCTTTAAAGGGATTGTTCACCTAAAAAATAAACATTCTGTCATCATTTACTCACTGGAACATTACTCCAACCCTGTATTACTTTCTTTTTTTTCTGTGGAACCCAGAAAAAGACATTTTGAAAAATGGCTCAGTGTTGTTGTTTTTTTGCCCATTCAATAGAAGTCAGTGGGAAATGGTTTGGATACCAAAATTCTTCAGAATATCTTCTTATGTGTCCGCCGAAGAAAGAAAGTCATTCAGATTTGGAATGACATGATGGTCAGAAAATGATGACAGATTTTTCATTTTTGGGTGAATTATCCCTTTACGGCAACTGAGTGTTTAATAAAAGAGATGGATGAAATGCTATTATTTCTAGATATCTCTAGAGATCTTCCAAGCTGTCAGTATTTTTTAGAAAATATATACAGTATAATTATATATACAGTTTTTTATAACTAAACTGCATTTTAAACCAGCAAATCCTGTGAATATCTTAAGATACTATAGATATGGAGCTGAATAAAATCAGTGTGCCTATGGAAAAACTCTCCATATTATCAATATTTCTTTGGCTTGAGATCTTCCATGCTGTGTGAGTGTGTGTCTGTGTCAGTATGTGTTTTGATTTATTAATGCAGCAGGGAGTCTCAGACAGCTGTCCTCAGCATAGATGACAACATGAGGAGCAGAAAGCTAAATAGTCTCCTCTAGTGGACAGTCTGTGACATGACCTACTAGGTCTCTGAACAGTATTGACCTCATTGTATGTTTTTTAGATGACGAAGGGCTATGTTTAGCATGCTGTTTATTGCTTTTAAATAATGTAATTACACTTTGGTTACCATCATTCATCAAAATATCTTCTTTTGTGTTCCACTGAAGAAATGAAATCATAGAGGTTTGGAATGACATGAGTGTGAGTAAACAATGACAGAATTTTCTTTTCTTTTTTTTGGCGAACTATCCCTTTAAGAATTACCTTTTAAGTTTTGTCTAAGGAATTGGGCTAGTAAGGAACCATCCAGAACACCATAGCAACAACCCACAAAACCCTGGCAACAGGATAGTAATGCACTAATAAACACCCTAGTATTGTGTTAGTGAGATTTGCATGGGCAAGCAAATGTAAAAATCAAAATGTGTAAAAATCTAATAAGTTATTAGTCAGTTTCAGTAGCCTTTGATTAAATGTGCATGTGTTGTTGGTTCCTTTTAGATACTAAAACACAAAGTCTGGTTTTGCAAGGAGACATCAAGTGTGGGGTGTGTTTTGGCAGCTGAACCACTGCAAGGTGCTTTTAAGTTGTTATTTTTTAATACAATTTTTTACTGTATGTGTACGTTAAAGGTACCATTCCGACAGCAAGAACTATGTAACAGCAAGATTAATGTCTTGGGTATGATGTGTTTATTGGACCTGCGTTAGCATGAAGCTGCAGTTTCACAATACATTAATTACACTTACGAATAACAGTAAAATGCTGCAAATATTTTTTTCTTGCGCTTGAAACACGATTTACACCTTTACAAAGCTTCTCTTGCGCATGCAAATTTAATTTAAGCTTACAGTCTTATGTACACTTCCACAACTCTTACCCTGCGTATGCAAATCTTTTTGACGTCATTCTACCTTCATACTTCAGAACCTGTCGAACTAGAGTGGGTTTCAGATAAGCTGTGCCCAAACCCCACCCTCTCAGGTCTGTTTGAAACATATGGTAATGGCATCTTGAGTATAAATTAAGGCTGGAATACACTACATGATTGTTCAAATCTGAACAGATTTTAAAACACTAGGCATCATACATTTACCCGCCTGAAATAGTTACAGAAAAAACTAGGCATCATACACTAAATAACTGAGGATCACAAACTGCCCGACTGTTAAGTCATTCAGAACACTACAAACTTATACAGAAACATGTTTGATATCTTCCTCAGACTGAACTGATTCATAGTCTGAAGCTAAAAAAAACAGAGTCTGATATCTTAAAGAGCTGCTGGTCCCAAATGACTTAAATTGTATTTTCCCCCTACTAAGGTATTCAGTGGGGACCAGCAACTGTTTGGTTGCCAACATTCTTCAAAATATATATATATTTTTTAAATTCCACAAAAGAAATAAACTCATACAGGTTTGGAACAACTTGAGAGTGAGTAAATGATGACAGAATTTTCATGTTTGGGTGAACTGTCCCTTTTACTGTTTGAGTAGAAATCACTCTTAACACTAATGTACTTGAAGAAACAACTAGATAACCAACCCAAGCTGTTATGATGATATGAATTTGTAGAATCAATGATGTGGTACGAATTAGTGAATGATTCAGAGGTAATGACGTAGTGAGCGATTAACAAATTCAAATTGAAACTTTTCTAACTGCATATAATATGCAAATATATGTATTAAGGCTGAAAAAACAGATGAACCAGATATCTATCATTTCAGTATGATTTTCCTTTAAGCAGAGAGTTTAATTTCAGCACTCAATGCCTTGTCAAGGCCTTTTTACTACTTTAACAATTACTTGTTTTAATTTAATGTAAAACACCTTTAACAAGAGCTTGACTGTAAATAATTTAGCTCAGTTTTAGCTGTACACATCAAGGCCTAGCTCCTTTTTCAGTTCACAATCCTGCCACAGCCTGTCTGTACCGAACAAAAGAAATTTACTCAGGAAACCTGTCAGCCAATCAGCTGCTGCCTTTCATCCTGTCTGTAAAAACCGGCCAATCACAGAACTGCTTTCATTGCTGTTATCAGAATGTTGGCTTGGCTGGCTTGGAGAGCAGAGACTGCTGTGTAGAGAGAGAGAGGGAGGGCTGTCCTCCATGTTTTAGTAAGCATTGACATTATCCACTGTTTTAAGCCATGCATCCACAGAGGTAAGAGATTTTTCATTGCTTATATGCTTTTTACACTACCTCTTAACGCTAATGGTTGAATTATGTCATGCAGAAATACAGGATTTTCTGAGAGACGGGACAAAATCCTGTCCCAACACCAAAGAGCTGGATCCTGGCAGGCAGAGGCAACTCAGAAATCACACTCACACTGTGTTTTAGTCACCAGGTTCGCATGGCTGACCTGTGCTAACACTGTGACCAAACTGGCCTCTCTCCTAGTCAAGTTTCTCTGGAGCTGGAGAGGAGCACAGTTGTGTCAGGTTGTGTCACAGGCCAGGCCTCTCAAAATGGAAGGCCCTGAGGAGCAGACAGTACAGACTGTAAGAGGAAGTGCACATGTAGACTGGCAGAAAGATCGAGCAGCAGTTTTGGCTCAGGTTGCAATTTAAGGGAACACACACTTTCCAATGGCCGACAAAATGCTGAATGTTCATTTTGCTCAGGCTATAGGCCTAAAGCACAGAGCAGATTGCATTTGCTGACAGGGTTATTGGATCTGAAATAGAAGAGACTTTCTTTTCTATCAATAGATGCATATAGATGGTATAATAGGCTTGTGTTTGTCTTTCTGGGTTAAATAGAGGCTTCTGTCTGTTTACTCAGGATGTAAAGACTCTGTACAGGCCAGGCATTTTATCAAAACTTAAGTTGTGGTATGAGTTGGCAGCCATTTCAGACAGACTTCCTCTTTCGGCTGTGCAACCACAAAGACTGTGTTTGTGTCTGTGAATGCAAGCATATTGTCTTAATGTGGCATTATTAATATTACGTTTGTATCCAGTATTTCAAATATTTCTCTTGGATGGCAAATCGTTGGATACTGTATTTAATACAGCAGGGGTCTGATCAGAGGTCAAAGCAGTGGAATAGTGGTTTTTCCACAACCATAATGTCAAACTGAGGTGTTTTTTTTTTCTTAACCTGCCATAGCAGTCATTGTCTGCAAAATAACTTGCACGTTGGACAGTTTGGCTGTTAAAGCAAGTGATTAAACCTGACTGTTTATCGGCTTCACCTGTCTGACTGACAGTGTATGTGCAATCGTGATTTCCTGATATCTGTTTGAGATTATACTTTAGAAATGTGATTTAATGTTTAACTGCTGAGATTTGTGGGGGGTGGATCAGTTTGTGTGTTAAAAAGAAAAGAGCAGAGAATTAATTACTACAGGGAGATATAAGAAACATCATTTTGAATTATCATCATCAAATCATTTTTATTAATAGTAGACAAAGTTTCCATATTTCTTTCTAAATATTACTCAAATTATGTATTTTTGTTTTATTGTTTTAAAAAAGAAAAGAAAAAAAAGTATAAATGAATGTTACTCAAAAAATGTCATGTGGTGTAGCAATATTTTTTGCACCTTGAATAATGGGTTGGTTGTTGCTTATATGTATATGTATATATATTATATATAATAATAATAATAATAAATATATGTATGTATTATATACAGTACTGGTCAAAAATTTGGGATCAGAACGATTTTTAATGCCCTTTACAGGAGTTTCTTATGCTCATCAAGGCTGCTTTTATTTGATCAAAAATACAGGAAAAAATGTAATATTGTGAAATATTATTATGATGTAAAATAGCGTTTTTCTATTTTAGTCACATGATCCTTCAGAAATCATTCTAATATTCTGATTTATTATCAGTGCTGGAAACTGTTCTGCTGCTTAATATTTTTTTTTAACCTGTGATCCTTTTTTTCAGGATTCTTTGATGAATAAAAAGTTCAAAAGAAGAGCATTTATTTAAAATAGAAATCTTTTCTAACAATATACACTACCGTTCTAACGTTTGGGGTCAGTAAATTTGTATTCTTTCTTTTTTTGAAAGAAATTAAAACTTTTATTCAGCAAGGATGTGTTAAATTGTTAAGAAGTGATAGCAAAGA